AAGTTTAACAACGCGAACTCACGGCTTCCGATCACCGTCACTGAGTTCTTACAATTATTGAAAGAATTTCTCTACTTTTACAGCAGAAAAAATGGATGAAAGAGGGCAGTATACTTACTTTATTTGGTGAATATCTCAGCTCCTATCTTGGTTCTTCAACCCTTAGGTTTTTCTCCAACTAGAACTTGAAAAAAAGAGAAAATCATTTAGGGTTTTGTGTTGAATTTTTGGGAGAACTTTGTTGGGGTGTACCTCTGATATTTTTGCTCTATTATGAGTGTAATATCTGAAGGAAATCAGCCCTTAAAAGGGCTCTTTGGCCAACCCAAACTAGCTCCTTTTTGAACACGTTTCGTCCTTTCATTTAAGCAAGTAGGTGACACACCTACTTGTCACCTATGCAGTCTCGCTGAAATGCAAATATCTCTTTACTCCGATATCGTATTGACAAACGGTTTAATGAGTTAGAAACTATACTCGTAGATCTTCAATTTTGTAGGTGGATCATCCCGTAATCTCAGATATATTGACCTAAATTTCAGTACATTTATGAATGTAACTTGTGATGACCTTTGCCAACTTTTGTTCCACAACTCACTTGACTTCAAAACATAACATACGACTATCATACGACTAAAATAACTCATAACATAACATCCTTATAATGTTATGAACCTTAGTCTCACCTCAAAAGTACATGTTATAACATTCCCAACTTGTCGACTTTCGATGAAACTTATATTCGTCAATTCGTTTAGCTTCAAAGCCTTCCAACAATTTTGGTACTTGTTACTCATGAGCATAAATATTTGTAACCTCCAAGGTAACATGATTAACTTACTTTATATATTTTCAAAGATGATCTCATTTCTAAGCGTACATCAATTGACTTGCGATGTACTCTTACATACGAAAATATGGGGTATAACATAACACCACCTAGTTGAAAAATACATTTTTAAAGCTTTAGAGCCGTTAGGTAGTAATACTATTTGTATAGACCTAAAGAATAATTTTAGAATAAAATCTTTCAAAAGATAAATACCAATTGGATATGTAAAAGACAAATTCAACAACATAAAATTTTTGAAGTGTCATTTAGCAGCCATTTATTGAAAAAAGGAGAAAAAGCCTTCTCAAAGGAGAAATTTGGCAAGTGGTCAATGATAAGAAGTTTTGATTCTTAAAATTCTTATGCTTGACATAAATTTTTTTCATGATCCATATTTGTTATATTCAAGAGTTTATGCTTTTAAAATTTATTCCATAACTTAATATATAGTTTAATAATATTTTTATGATTTAAAAAAAAATGTATACTCATTGATATGAAGAACACGCACAATGCGCATACTCTAAAGCTAGTCATACTAAAAGTAAAAAGCTCCTACATTCAAAGTTAATTTACAATAATATTCTTTGAAACTTGAGTTACCATTTTGTCCCTAAAAAATAATAAACCTTCAATTAAATAATTTTTTAATTACATTAGCAATGAACCAGATGAATTAGAAGTGAAAGAATTGTACATAAATGCTTCATACACTCAATTCAATAAATCCAAATAGGATTGACGACATTCATATTCTCCTTCAGTTACTTATTAAAAACAAAAGAATTTGAAAAGATACGAATATTTCAATAGAGATCAGATTCATACACATATTAAAAATGGTATCTCGATAGTCATTGAGCTAATATATTGACAAGGCAATGACAATCGATCAAATAATTTGTTATCAAACAAGGATTTGTAAATTTTGATTTATATCTGAATATTCGCCTTTTCCTGCTGCATTATATATGGATATGCTCTAAACTCTTTGAGCTACATTTTCTTTTTCTACTTCATTGCGTATATCTTTTTCATTTTTATCTCGAAGTGTGTTCATTCATTTATGTGGAACAAAGTTTTGTTACTGCCACCTTGTTTGATCCTAAGCTTCGCTCTTTATTAATTTTCAACATAAATTATCGTCTTCCGCGGATCCTTAATTAATTACGCAATTGCCTAAAAAGAAATCTTTTAGTAGAAATGATAGGTTAATTAGCGAGAATGCTCATGTCCTTTTTAACACTTAGATTTTTCCTTTTTTGGCCTCCCACTAAATCATGGATTAACTTCAATAACGTACTCTACAACTTGGAATTATGGCTAGCAATGGAGTGAGAGAGTTTGTCTGTCCTTTTCTCTCTGGTTGATAAAAAAAATACTTATCGAAATAAGTGTGATTCACTGCAGTAATTTGTGTTCGTGGTACCCTGGTGTTTGAAGTACTATATCAGTGTGGTTATCCATTCTATCTTGGGAGGAAATAGAGAGCGTTTGGCTAAGCTTATAAGTTGGTCGAATTGGTTTATAAACATCTTTTGGCTTATCTATGCGTTTGATAAACACCTGAAGTGTTTATAAGCTAAAATAAGTCATAAGTCATAAATTGTGCACCCCACTTTTAGTTTAACTAAGGTTTTTACTAGTTTATCTGTAATATATTTTTTAACTCACAAAATACTTTTACCAAAATAAATTTCCTAACTTTCTCTTCATTCCATATTCGTTGTTCATCTTTTCTTTTCAAAGAAACTTTTTGATTTATAATGTTTTGTAAAGGTTTTTAAGAGTATTTTAGTCATTTTAACAAAAGAACATCTTATCAATATTTTTTTACCTAACACATCAAATGCTTATTGTCAGTTCTAACACTTCTATCCAAACATATAAACGCTTATTTAAAAAAATCAATTCCAGCACTTAAAAAATACTTTTTAGCACTTAAAGCTTATCAACTATTTACAATCAACCAATCTAAACGGGCTCAAAATCCTAAACCTCGGGTACTAAAAGGGGATTATATTCCTTAAAAATACACTATAAATTCAATTGGCTCAGATTAGTTTTTTGCTTATTCTACATTTCTTGTTTACATTTCCAGAATTTAATATTTGGATACAGAATACTATCAAGATAACCATCAGAGACTGGATTTCCTGCATCCTCTTTGAGTCAAGGATGATGCAAGCACAATGTTATAAGATTCTGAACACACCTACATGAAAATGTGTTTTTTTTCCTAGTTAACCAAAGCAAAGCTTGACCTTAGATGAGATGTGGGACAGAGGAAATCAGAGGCGGCTCAATGGTCTTAGAGGCCTAAAGCCGAGAAAGAGGCCTTAAACTTGTTTAACAATTTTAGATATTTTTGTTGAAGTTTATTCTTTTTACTTTTCGAGATGCAATTTCATCTTGACGATATAATCAACAATTTCATTTTGACGATGTAACCAACCTTTTTAATCTTTGTTGAAAGATTACTAACATTTGATAAGTTTTTATTAAGTTTAATTTTTCGTTTTTTCTTTTTACATGACAGTCAACGTAACTCACTATATAACATTGTCTCCCAAAGTAATAATCATGTAGAAGTTTGTATTTACAACGATGATAAATATTTTACGATCTAATTAGCTTGAAGCATGCCTGTAGAGATCTTGAAAGAAAATATCTTACAAAGTTAGAACTGTAAATAAAATTTATTTAAGTTGGAGTAAGAAGAACTAGAAAGTAACTACAGATTTAATTGTCTTTCATTTTCATTTGAATTTTTTCAACCAACTCCGAAAAAAGATCACATAAAATATAAAACTATATTAACGATTGGTGACAAAGTAGCAAAAGATGGTTGAAAAAATTTCTTATACTACTATTTAATAATAAATACAATAAATATTTAAATTACATATAAAAAGAGCCGCTTTTGGGGCCTCTAATTTTGTGAGGCCTAACGCGGCCGCTTTAGTGGCCTAGGGATTAAGCCGCCTCCGAAGGAAATACTAGTCTGCTTTCCCAATATTTTTTGACTTCTGATTATTCTTATAGTTTTAAAAACAAGGCGAATGTCATGAACGATAGACGATCATTGGAAAACACGAAAAAGAGAATCATGAAAAAATTAATCATACTTCAGTAAAAAGGAAATTCCAGGACATGAAGCACATTCTCCGATCAAAGGGATGGAAAAGATTTTATTTTAATTATTTACAAAAAATGAAATAGAATAGAAAAAGCTCGCGACACAAGAATCAGGAACCTTACTCCTGGTGGAATATAACTAGCTAAATCTTTTCTTTTTTTATAAATCATAATTCAGTAAAATAGGCGACAACTGCTATTAGGATGTGTTTGTAACCTAATGCTGCACTTGTTCGTAACGTTCGGAATTTTCTATGTAATATCTACTTTTTCTCATTTGAATTGAAAAATATTCTTTTCCTCCTCTTTCCCAACCTACTTCTTGTGAGTTAAAATATCTAAAAGAAAAATTCTACTCTGTCAAGTAAAATGTGATTTTTCATTGCCTGGAATTGGACATGGGGGTTGGCGATTTGTTTAATTATTTTTGTGATACATTGGAAGCCAAATCATTCCGATCTTAGAATTCATATCATGTTGTTCTTGAGCAGTATATATAGAAGTAGGGAAAAAAATATAGTGATAATTTGATTCTTCGTGGCCGTAGTAAATAGGAGAAAATTCGAATTAAAATTTTCGTTTTCACAAAAACTTTTTTAAAAAAGGAGAGTCATAACTTCGTTTAATAGATTAAATTAAACTCATTGTTGGCTTCAATTAAAGTCGGTAACCAAAAACACCGTGAAGTCCCATCAAATCCCAAAAATTTCAAATTCCATATTAATTCGTATTTTTAAAATTTAATTTTTCAAAAAAAGAGGCAAAGCTAGAATTTAAATTTTCTTAACTATTGCAAATTTATCCTAAAAAGGGCTACAATAATTGAAAATGCCAAAACACAATATATTCAAAAAGTTCTTATATGTCACGCTTATCGACACTATTATGCTAAAAGTCAAAGAAAAGAAGTGTTGGGATAATACCTTTAATCCTGATCTCTACTAGATGTCGTGTTGCGCTTTTCAACTTCCCAATAGCAAATTTAAGCAAATTTCATTTATGTTGAGTTGCCATTTTCAATTTTCCAATGTCAAATTTCGGCATATTTCATTTATGAAACTTCTTACATGGCTCCTATTTAAGTGCTCATCAAATTACTTCAAGAATATATGCATTCAAGTTTTTGTTCTGAGTACGAGAGAGGTATGTACTAAAAACTCTCATTCAAGAATTACATATTTGCGTACTGAATAGTTAAAATTATGTTTTATCAATAGCATCATTTATATGTTCTTTTTCCTACAAATAATTATCAAAAATATATCCATTTGATCCCTTCTATATGTGATATACATCTAGTAACACCTTCCTGAAAGGATATAAACAATGTGGTTAATATTCTTACACAATAAGTATGTTTTTTTCTTTTTTGTATTTTTCACTCTGTCCGATACCTGCATTGGAGTGGTCGAACTCGAGATCTCTAATTAAGAATAAAAGAGTACTTACTGCTCTTTGTTGGTTACCTAATTAATATGCTTTCTATTTCTAAATGAAGACTTAACACAATAAACAAGTTCATTAATGAAATAAGTTTTAATCACGCTTAGATTATATACGGATTATATCTATGTTGAGTAATAAGTTACAAAATCGCGCACAGATTATACACAAATTATATCTATTTTTGATTAAACGGTTGTATAGGCGACTATTTAAATTAATTTTTCTACTTTTTTGGACAGGAAAATGTCTTCGAGCGCGAGTGCTTCTTCTTCAAAGAGTAAGAAAAGAGTTGGACCTGATAATGACTTCAAAGTTGGGAAACAACTCCAAGTACTCATAGTTGATGATGATGACGTGTCTCAAACAACCTACATTTTGTTTCTTCAGAAGTGTGGAGTGGAAACTTTGGGAGTGAGAAATGGAAACGTAGCTGTTACTATTCATGATATTACAGAAATGCGTTTCGATTTAATCCTAATGAATTCTGTACTGCCGCTTATGGATGGTATCCCGGTAAGCTTTCTGAAATCGCAAAATTACTTTCGTAAACATTCGAGCCCGCGCGGGTTGGCTGAGTTGGTTGGGTGAGTGATTTCCCAGTTGATAGACCTAGGATTGATTCCCCTCTCCAGCAGCCTCCTTTTGCCTAACACGGTTTACATCTCTGTATAGTTTGCGTCTTTGCGAGCTATCGCACGGTTACCCAGTGCACATCCGAAGGATAGCAGCTGCAGTTTCCTGGGATTTTCCGGAAAAGGAAAATTTATTCGATACAAATAAGTTTTATCCTTTTATATATGTGCGGAACATGTTTCCATTTTAATAAAATTTAACCGATTTTCTCAATTTATAGGCAACAAAAAAGCTTCGAGAAATGGGAATTACAACTATGATTGTTGGAATGACTAATGTGAATGACAAGGAAGAAGTTCGCAAAGAATTTATGGAAGCTGGTGTTGATGATTGCTATGAGAAGCCATTAACCCCTGAAATACTTCGCAGCCTTCTTGAGAAACTTTCCAACAAAGCTTAAGATCAAGTCAAATAATTATATTAAGTCATCTCTTATCAGACTAAAATTATGTGTGGTTCTTTAGTCAATTATCTTATTATGAATTATATGTAGTGATGAAGTACTTTCAAAATGGTACGTATCAAAGATGTAGCAGACATATGATTATGGTGCTATTTCCTTATGCTATGAACTATAATATTTTACTTTTAAAATGTTGAGTAGTAGTTTTAAAATTTCAATAAGGTACGACACCACTTATTTTTTATTTTTATTTTTTTGTTTTCTATTCGTTGTTTGGTACCCATTTTTGGGTCCGACTAATCTGGATTCTTGTGGAACAATCTTACTTTGAAATAAACTGCTCGCTATCAAAGGTGACTCCCTCTCAAGACTCGAATTTGAAATCTTTTTTTAATAAAAAGAGAGAACTCTTGGCCATGAGTTTCGTCTAAAAAAAAAGGGCAACTCGATGCACTAAGCTCCCGCTATGCACAGGGTCCGGAAAATCCAAAATAAACAAAATAAAGTGAGTTTGGTCTAAATAACCAAAATAAACACTGAGGTGAGATATGAAATCCATAAGAAAATTGAATAATAGGATATCACAAGTTTCCAGTAAAAATTCGACTTGATCCAAAGATGAAATTTACTACAGAACTCTTTATTTCTCTATTCTTCAACTTATAATTCAGTTGAATACACAATATTATTTTTACTGCTATACAATCTGAATTTACACTAAGGTTGTTATAGACAGAATTACAAAAGAAACTTTCATCATCCATTTTTTGGAAACAGACAGTTCAAATTCTTAAGAAGATTTGAAGAAAAAACAAGTATTCAGTATCATTTGAGACATATTGAGCACTTTTTCCTTGTGATTCAGACCACAGAAAATGTCTCCAACTGTGTGATATTCCGCGATTTAGTTTGATTTCTGAGTGAGCAAACTTTGCAAGTATTTCTCCACATAATCCAGACCACACTGCGTCTTCACAACAGGTAATATGGCAGGAACATCCAGATAGAATTCTGAAGCAGACTCGTCGAGCTTGCCCCAAAGTTTGAGTTGTTCTCTTGCTGCTTTAACGGCTGCTCTTGTTGCACAATGGACTGAAGCTGCCAATAGCAGTGGCGGTTCACCAGATGCTGCAAAATAGTAATTAATCATATTAGGTTCAACAATTTGTACTAATGAATATACATATATGATATACTATCTTGAAATGAGTTTGCGACATATTCCACTCAACCAAGTGAAGAACAGTAGAAAAATTTTCATGACATTCACAGTTATAATCGAACAAGCAAAGAACTTGGCGAACTTTCTTGACAGAATGGAAGGGAAAAGAAATGCAGAAAGAAATAATACCTTTGGAAGAGAGAACCCGTTTTTCATGATGTCCGCTGTTTACCAAATGAACGTTGAAATTCCGGGGTATGGTGTCAATAGTTGGGATCTTGTATGTCCAAGTGCTATTTGAGACCATCAACCCATCTTCGTTTGTAAGATATTCTTCGTGCATAAAAAATCCAATACCTTGTACATAAGCCCCTTCAATCTGCAAGGAAAAGAAAAAAAATTGCCGCTATTTAGAACATCTTACGATCAAGAATAGATTATTCACGAGTTTGAGTAACAGCTTAAATGCATGATACACCTCTCAATTACATAAAAATTCCAACTACAAAATCTAAAATATACAACAAAGGCAAGACTATTATGAACCTGTCCCATATCGACAGCTGGATTCAAGCTCTGCCCACAATCGTAAATAATATCCGACTGCAAAATCTAAAATATACAACAAAGGCAAGACTATTATGAACCTGTCCCATATCGACAGCTGGATTCAAGCTCTGCCCACAATCGTAAATAATATCCGACTGCAAAATGGTAGTTTCTCCCGTCAGAATATCTATCTCCACCTGCAAAAAGAGCATATGCTATTACTTATCCATAAGAATGTTTTTCGGAAGAATAAATTGGCTGCAAAATTATCCACAATCAGAGTTTCCTGTTAAGTGTTGTGCACTCAAACTGATACAACCTAGGGAGAACCACGCCCCAAAAGCTAGCTATTGAGGTGGTAGAGGCCAAGGCTATATAAATCTCACATCAGCACTTTGTAGTACCGATGTTGGACTCAAGTCACATTCCTTGCAACATATCATAACAAATGGTATCAGAGCCACCCACCACCCTCTGTGCTCACCGTGCCTTCGATGGTCACGTTGGTATTGCAGTATTCGTCCGGGGATAGAAATATCTAGTGCACAACCATCCAGGACGACGGATGCGGAGCGTGGTAGTTTGTTATGGTCTGTTGCAAGGAATGGGATTTGTCCACATCGGTACTACAAAGTGCTGATGTGGGGTTTTATATAGCCTTGGGCTCTCCCACCTCAATAGCTAGCTTTTGAGGTGTGGTTCTCCCTAGATTGTATCACAAACATACTGAAAATCGATAATCATTGAAGCAGACTGAAGCAGGGAACGCTACTAAAGGCATGGATAGTCAAACCAGAAAAAGCAACAGAAACAACAAGTTTACCTCACTGACAGCAGCACCAAAGTTCAAATAACTCATGGAACTGGATTCTGGTACATAATAAGAACTTGCTGATAAGTTTACTGCTTGCATTTGTGCCTGCAAAAAGAAGGGAGGTGGGTGGGAGAGAACTGCAAACTAAGATATTTAACACACGAGAAAGAGTGACCAAGTGAAATATTGGGAAAACAAACCTGGCGAATGAGCGTTGGCCAATCAAGAGAGCCATTTTGTTCCTGCAACTGTTTCTTCAGAGGAGTCAGTCTTTCAACCAAGACACTACAGCAACGCCTAACTGCTTCACAGCTTGATTCCGATGTAGTGCTTCCAGCCGTACACCCGCCTTGCACTAAGCTTAAGCTGTCTGCTTGTATGACTCGTACTTTCTCTACAAGTTCTTCGCTCCAACTACTTTCAATTAAACCAAGAGCATATGCAGTCATCTGTCTAACCTTTGTCCATAGCCCTTGGCCAATTTCAATCCCTCCAACCTCTACAACAATTGATCCATCCGACAGGATACTGACTTTTCCTGGGGTTGGTCGTTGCATAGCTTCAAATATTATTGGCAGTCGAGAAATACCCTTTTTCTTCCATGTGTTTTTCTGGTTAAACTGTTCCACCATCTTGCTACGTTGGAAAAAGCTCGAGGACACAGCCAACTTATCCATGATACCAGGCAACGTATATTCTCCTACTTCAGTTACGATGTTATCATAGAATAAGTTAATGCTTTCAAATGTATGAACATTTTTATTTCTGACAGAATCCACCTCCTTTGACAGTAAACTCGCTACATGCTCTATTATAGCTTCGGCAATATAAGATCCTTGCACCTCCCCAGGGGCCCGCATAGCTGATTTGCTGGTAAGATTCGTCTTGCATACTTTTACATCAAAAGATAAGGCACCCCAATCATATTTCTTTATTGCTTTAATCACATTTGATGGTAGGAGGGGGCTTATATCTTCCGAAATCCCAGCATTTATCAATATATCAAGATGTAATGCTGTGATCTTTCCGCTTGACTTGAATCCTACACTGTATGTTACTTTCATTGGGTGTCTTCCTCCTGTCATTATCATGTCGCTGTTCCGGTTGACATATATCCTCACAGGCCGCCTTAACTTGTATGCTGCAAGTGCACAGGCTGTCGAAACCTAAAATCATACATAAACTTTGGCATTAGAGTCGGAAATTTTTTCTGGAACAGATCGAGAAAGAAAGAGAGACGAGAGAAAGAAACATCCACATGCATTATTATTACCAATTTTTATTATTATTACTAATTTTCTTTTCATATACTCACAGGCATTGCTCTGACTGCCTTGCCCCCAAAGCCACCTCCAACCCTTCTTGTAATTACACGGATATTGTGTTCAGGAACACCAAGACAACTGGCAATCACATTTTGCGCATACTCAGGGCACTGGCTTGAAGTATAAACAACCATACAGTTGTCTTCATCTGGAATCGCAAGGGCAGTCTGTGTCTCCATATAAAAATAGTACTCGGAACCAAGTCTTACCTGGAAATGATTATTAGAAGAAGAGCCAATCAATTTAAAATTTGAACCTTTAGCATAAATCTACTACAGTTAGACATGCTATGGAACTATAGAGAAATCAAAAGTACCTCAGCAGAGAGAATCTTGTGATCAGCTTCAGCCATTCCTTTTGAGAAATCACCAACCTGTTTTGGATATAGAAATGGCGGGATTTGGAAAAAGCTAGATTTCTCAACAGCTTCCTCGACAGTTAAAATGGGTGAATTTACATTTACAGTGTCATATTCAACAAGGGCTGTTGTGGCAGCCACGTCAGCAGACCTCTGAGTGTCAGCAACCTATGTCATTAGATCGCCATATGTTGAACAACAAAAAGAAATAGTTAAAAAAAATCTTATGGATCAAAAGTATATGAGAAATTAATATTTCATACCGCAACTGCAATTCTCTCGCCAGCACATCGGGCGAGATCATCTGCGAATAAAGGCTCAGGGCCAAACATTGTAATAGATCCTACATTTGACCCTCCACTTGGGATATCCTTGAAAGTAATAATGTCGGTGAATCCATCTGTTAATGAATTATACTCAAGCTGGATTCCTTTTACACCTGCTAATGGTTTTGTGCTGTAGATAAACGCTCCATGCAGGCAGTTTGGTGGTGATGGAATGTCATCTACATAAACAGCTTCACCTGCAAAATATAATATAAACCAGAAGATGAAAATTGCAGAATAAAGTTATTGTTAAAATAAGATGCACATAGACTATTTTTGTGTTAAACCAATAAAAGCATGGATGGGGGAATACATGACAACAAGGGGTACAGAAAAGGAGAAGAAATGACCACAAGAGCTGATCTGAGAAAATACTGAACAATTTACAGAGGAAAAAACATCAAAAGCTCAAGCCTCTTCTCAAATGGAAAATAAATGACAAGGGAGGAGGAAAGGCTGATGAGGAAATTTGTAACGTAAAAACAAGTTCGGCTGAATTTGTATTTGTTGAATTATGTCAAATTTCCATCCCACATCGGTGGGTTAAGGAGTTGGTGGGAAACTT